TCACCATTTACTATACCTACCTATCTCACCTGTTTACCCTTTTCTTTTTCACAAAGATTCTTTTTTTTTTTGTTTTGTATTGCTATTAGTATTGTTGTTAACATTGTAATATCAGTAACATTTATAACAACATCAATGTGATCCCAATGACTACGGATTTATGCAGTCTCCTATATATTTTTTTTTAATTTTGTTACATAGAGATCACACCACATGTGCTCTTATGCTTTTGATATAAATACTGTTATTATTCTTATTGATATAATGAATATTAAATTGTTATTAAAATTTTGGTAACATTAAAGACAATGGAATAATACAAAAGAAACTTTCCAAAAATCAAGGAAAAGGGTTGATATATGAGATGGGTAGAACTAATAAGTGACTCCTTGGTGACTAAGCACTTGTAGAGCCATTTATGTGTAAATACAATAAATGAACTTATATTACAGTGGGCATGGCATGTATTCTTGCCATATGTCCCAATTGGGTTAATAGTACCAGAAAAAAAAAAAAATTGCAAAATCTCAAGGACAGAGAAAATCAGGCAAGATCATGTAGGCATACATATAGGCTCCTTGTGGAACCATCTAAGTGCACAGAAGTAGTCAACAGTTGTTTACAAATACATGGCACCAATGAGTTAACTGCTTACACAAAGGTGGCACCACTAAGGAGTTAATTATTAGTCATACCTGTCCCAAGTGTTTGCCCTTTTCCACAATTTTTGGATGATTTTTTGTTTCTTTCTTATTTTGATAATATCATGACATTCATTATGTCATAATTTTTTTCTTTCTTTCTTTCTTTCTTTTTTTTCTTTCTTTTTTTCCCCCCCTTTTATTAAAGCTACATTAAAATGATCTCTTGTTTGTCTATTTATATACAGTTTTAGTCAGTATCCTGCTGTGATACTGGTGACAATAGCTTTCATGATTTTATGTTGAATATTGCTTGCCTTATTGTGTATGATATATGTGCATTCTTGAGAAAATATAGTACATATGACACAGCATTTTATTTTATTTTATTTATTTATTTATTATTATTATTATTTTTTTATCATTATCAACATCTCATTAATTTGGCTAACAAAATAATTCTGCTTTTTCAGGGAGATATTGGCAAGGCTTTAAATTCCAGGACAGTGGAAGAAATGGGCAAGTCATTGGTAGATTTCCTAGTCGAGAAGCAGAGAGCCAAGAATGGGTCAGAGTCGTGGGTGAATCTTCAGCCATACCAGTGAGTTCAAGATAAATGGGATAATCTCTGTCTCCCCCTCCCTCCCTCCCTTCCTCCTTCCCCACTTTAATTACTCTAATGCCTCAAACTCTCTCTTTCTCTCGCTCTCTCTCTCGCTCTCTCTCTCGCTCTCTCTCTCGCTCTCTCTCTCTCTCTCTCTCTCTCTCTCTCTCTCTCTCTCTCTCTCTCTCTCTCTCTCTCTCTCTCTCTTTCTCTCTTCTCTCTCTCTTTCTCTCTCTCTTTCTCTCTCTCTTTCTCTCTCTCTCTCTCTCTCTCTCTCTCTCTCTCCTCTCCTCTCTCTCCTCTCTCTCTCCTCTCTCTCTCTCCTCTCCTCTCTCTCTCCTCTCCTCTCCCCCCTCCCTCCCTCCCTCCCTCCCTCCCTCCCTCTCTCCCTCCCTCTCCCTCTCTCTCATAATTACTAATAATGGTATGACAGTTTTTTCAGTAATTGCAATTTCTTTATCTTATTTTTATCATCATTTATTTCAGTAATGTATTTGCCATACTTACACTATGATACTATTTCAGTGGCTCATTATCTGACATATGGAAAGGAGTACCTAGTTCTGTAGAGCATCTAGTTGTCATTGTGGATCATGCAGGTTCTTACACAGGAAAACTTGTCGCATTGGATCTGGGCGGATACTCAAAGGTTAGTTATACTTAGTTATATATATATATTTAGTGAACATTATATCTTCTTTGTTTCTAATTTGAAGACAGAATGAGACAACAAACATATTGTTGATATAGACTTTCCATTTTGATTATTGAAATGTATGATAAGAGTATTATATTGTCTATAAAGAAGGAAGATATAAATATATGGTATTGTTTTATCAGTAAGAACAGGGAATGTTTAGAAAAAAAAATCACAAAAAGAAAAAATATCTCTCTATAAACCAGATAGCTGTTCGTGTCATGGAGGGAGGTGGAGGTGGAGGCGAAGTGAAGGAACTCCGCTCAGCATCCAACCCCACAGTCATCTTTATGGACAGAAATGGCCGGAAGGAGGTGGTTGACAATGCTGCTGAAACAAGGAAAGACTTAACAAAGCTTATTATGAAGAAATACAATCTCTTCAGGAGTATGTTGCCCTTCAATAAAGCAGGTACTGGTGAGGGTCCAATTTTTTTGCATTGAAACAAGTGGGTGATTTTGGAATGAAAGGAGTATGGTGTTTGATATTCTCCACATGTGAACTCTTGAATTTACAGGTGAAACCGGATTTAGTATTTAAAGGAGTCAAGTCATTACCTGTAACCCAAAGCTGACTTTGTTAATTGTTTTTACACATAGATGGCTACACTTGTCACCAGTGAGCCAATTACGAGTACTGCCTGTCACACCTGGTTACCCTTTTCATTGATTTACGAAAATATTTTATATTATCTTATTTTGCTGTTACTAATGTTTATAACATTATAGTAATTATAATGTCTATAACAAAAATAACACCATCGATATTCATAGCATTAGTAAAAAGATGTTTTTCCCTCCAATTCAAGGACAGATGAAATTAGGTAAAGTCATAAGGTTTACTAAATTGACTCCTTTGTGGTTAAGTGCTAGCAGAGCCATCTATGTGCAGAGACATTACACAAAAAGAAAAAAAAATTAATGAGCACAGCATTTGGTTAAGGAAACCATATATATATATATATATATATATATATATATATATATATATATATATATATATATATATATATATATATATATATATATATATATATATATATATATGTGTGTGTGTGTGTATGTATGTATGCATATGTATATATATATAATTTTTTTTTCCACATACCATGTTAATTACTTAATTACTTAAAAAATATTCTTCAGTTTCATTAACTTTACTGTACATACTCCATAGGCTAGCCGAATCACCCCCACTCCCCCTTGCCAGGGATGGTCTTCTTGATATTATCATTATTGCTATCACAAATTGTTATTATTGTAAGGCTAGAAGAGTAGGGAGAGTAAAAGCCATTTTGTGGAGAAAAGTATTGGTGTTGCTGATGACTCTTGAAAAGAAAAGTTGACAGATTGTGTGATACACATTTCCCTAATGATGCTTAATTGATTTTTCAGTTTTGCACTAAATCCTCATTTAAACATGATTTATAGTAATCAGTAAATGAATTGTGTATCATGTATTATTAAAACTTATGCATTATTTATGGTTTGTGATTTAGTTATTCATTTTTATACAGGATCCCTAAAAGATGAAGGGTCAAAGAAGAATGAGGTAGAAGGAGCTGGTGACGGAAGGCCAGAGGAGATACATAGCGATAAGTTGAATTATGAAGATGACCTTCCTGACACTGCATATACTGGGAGTGAAAGAAGAGATCAAGTTTACATGGTTGACATAGAAAATGCGGTCTCTTATGCCCTTCATCATGAAGTTGTACAGCATAAGATTATATCAGGGGAGGCTCTTAAAGCCTTGCAGGATTTCCTAGATGTTCTTGTGCTCTACCTGCCTGCAAGACCAGCTGTGCATGAATTCCTATCACGGCTCCACAAATACACCACAACTCAAGGAGACAGAATTCTTGGAGAGAAGTTAGCCGAGAACATTAAGTCGCTTCAAGACCAGGAATCGGTACTTCCAGACCAGCAGCAGTGGATTGGATGCAAAGGAAGTGAACCAAAATTCAGAGGTTACCCTTGTGGTCTGTGGACAACATTTCATACAATAACTGTGAATGCAGTTCTGCAGGATGGCAATAATGTGAACTTCAGTCCTAAGAAAACTCTACAGGCAATTCATGGTTATGTAAAACATTTCTTTAGCTGCTCATATTGTTCAAAGCATTTTCAAGAAATGTATGCACTGGATGCCGAATCATCTGTCAATGTGGCAGATGATGGGATAATTTGGCTGTGGCGAGGGCACAATAAAGTGAACAAAAGGCTACGTGGGGATGCAAGTGAAGATCCCCACCACAAAAAAGAGCCTTTCCCTTCCCGAGTGGCTTGCCCAGCCTGTTGGGACAATAATCAATTGAAAGAAAAGGATGTCTTGGCTTACCTCAAAGGTATATATTCCAAACGTGCTCTTTCGTTCAAAGGAACACAAACCATAGTGGCCCCTGTATTGAACAGGCAAGCAAAAATTAAAAAGGTGTTAGACAGTCACAGAGCTGAGAAAGAGAGAAAGGAAGGGCTGACTGTCAACAAGAAACACTATAACATCGAAGAGGAGCAACCTCTCCGTCCACTTCACACTTGGGGATTCAATAGCACTGACGTAAGTCTTTGCGTCTTTTTATACGGCATCTCCACCATCATCATAATGTCTGTTTACTGCATGGTAGTCATCAGAAGAAAACTAAGACGAAGAAAATTCTTTGAAACTTATAAGCAGCCGTAAGTTGTTGCAGGTTCTCTATCTTTTTCATGCACCGGGTAATGATCAGCACATCTCTAGATCTGTTTTAAGCCTCACTCTTCTTCACGTTCAGTCTGTGCTGTGCCTCAGATATAGGAATGATAATCAGACTAGAAGAGCATTTTTCCCCAGGGCATTCTCCACTGGGACTCTGATTAGCCAATCTCAAAGTTCAGACTTTTTCACTTTCTTTTATGATTACCATTATATATCTCGTCTTTTTTTTCTAATATGAAAAACTAAGAACCAAGATATCTATATTTTTATATATTTCAGGATTGTGGTAGAAGTTGCAAGTCAGCATTTTCATGCTGAATTTCGGTTTACAAGGTTTTGTACATTGTATTTTTACAGTTAGCTGATTAGCATCTTTCATGAAGGTCTTGCAGGTTAGAAGTGGATTAAGTATCTTGACTATATTGAAAAGTAATTGATGATTTAGTATAAGAGGACTAATTTTTTAAAGGTTCTGGAGGTAAATTGTGAAGAATATCCTCATAGCTAGTATTTGTTCAAAGAAAAGGAAAAGTCGGTATCATTTGCAACAAAACATCACGATTTTACTGGTTAATTTAATAGTTATTGTTACAGTTTTTATTGTGTCACAGAAATGTATGTGTGTTGTGTACTTAAACACATGCATGCATGCACTAGCATGCTGTATTGGTATGCACATGCACACACATTGGATATGTACATTTGTGCACACGCACACACACATATGTATACACACACATGCACACATACACACACACATGCATACACACATGCACACACACACGCAAACACGCACACACACACGTACACACACACGTACACACACACACACACACACACACGTACACACACACACACGTACACACACACACACACACACACACACACACACACACACACACACACACACACACACACACACACACACATACTCACATACACATACACACATACACACACATACACACGTGCACACATACACATGCATACATACACACGCACACACACACACGCACACATACACGCACACAAATGCATGCATGTGCGCACGGGCATGCACACGCACACATACATACATACATACATACATACATACATACATACATTCATACATATATACACACATACAGATATCTACCTCCACTAAAACATTTTTCACAATTTGTAAAATCAAAGTGATAATCTCTCCATTCCATTCCTTTATGGGGAAAAGTAGTATAGTTGATTTCAGACTTATGTTGGTCACATTACAGTATTCTTAGTATGTAGTTTGCTGGATCATGGGGTCACCTGACACTATTCTGAGCTTTTATGTATTTTGTAGAAGTCTTTGTTGTTTTTATTTCAGCACCACAACTCTCTTGGAGACAGAGATTTTTACCTTGCATAAGTAAAAAAGAAAAAAATATTATTTTAGACTAATGCACACTAATGTTGTAGATAATGCAATGGCACTTTAACTTCTTGGACTAAGTACTGCACCTTCGTGTCTGAGATTTCTAATTTTTTTTGATGAAGCCTGTTAATGATGACATACAAGCAGCTGTCGCATATCCATTCCCCTGCAGTGGGTGAAGCAAACTGATCTTATTAATATTAACAATAAAGCTAAGGTATCCTGTACAGTGTGTGATCAGAAACAATGCAGTTCTCCTGACAATAGAATTAGATATCTCAGCATGACAGTTTCTGCACAAGATGACTTGAGGATTAATGGATGGTCACAACATTCATTATCATTAATTGTCAATTTCACAAAATTGTATGTTTTTCTCATTGTTCTAGAAACTTGAAAAGACATTTAGAGTTACTACACTTCAGCCCCAGTGAAAGATTTTATATAATATAGATCTTTTAGGTGAATTTTATCAGAAAAGAACTCCTGACAATTACAGTATACTCTGCATAATTCAATGTAATTCTTTTGGCTCATGATATTGTAATATTGTATTAGAAATGAGTATATTTTGTAAATTTTAGCAGGGAAGTCTTCCAGGGTGAGATTGACTTGCCAGTTTCTTTTTTTTCTCTCTTTACACTAACTACAGTGTCATCATATGACTGATATTTTTACTATGTCATGAAATGTTGAAAAGAAAATTCTTTGTAAGTAGTAGAGCGAATGTTCATATCAAGCTGTGTGGTGTAAGTAACTAGAAAAAGAGTTATTTTGGACTAGGGTATGCTGCCAAACACAAATTTGGTCCTGTGATTATGAGGCTCATCATTATGAGTCCAAGAAAGTAAAATGCCACTGTAGTTTTTTATGTGCTAAATTAACTGCTCTTGGGTGCTTATATACAAAATATACTTCTTGTTGTCAGTGTACTTCCTTATCTATAGTAGAGTAGACTATTTTCATAAACCTATGATCATTCAACACTGCTTCTTTAGTGATTTCATAACCTTTTTTTTCTCTGCTGATGTGTTTTTTTTTTACAGGTTTATTTGATATTAATAAAGCATAAATTTTACTTCAACATACAGCAGTGAGGGGCTGAAGAAGTACCTGAGTGGAGCACATGAGGATATAATTGCAAGGGTCCACAGTCACCTTAAGCAAAAAGAGGCAGCATGCTGAGAAATGTATTAGAATTGGTAATGGATGGAAGGAAAGATCTGCCTCTGAGAAACCAAAGTTCTGCCCAAAGTACTGAAAATTAGTAAATTCTTATTTAATTCCTATATGTGTGTACTGGTCATAGGTGGTGGTCGGTGTATATAGTATTCATAGTTAATTATTATTATTTAATTTTTTATTATTTTTTTTTTTTTGCCCCCTCATTAAAGCAAATTATATAAATCAATGCAAATCCAACATGCTTGCTTCTTTTTGTTTCTTTTGTTTTTTCTTTTATTTCTTTCAAGCAATTGTATATTTATGACACATTTGTCCATTGATCTTTGTGCTGTCCAATAACTCTGCTCTTCCTGGCATGTGGTTGCTTTTGTTGACATGCTTTTGCTAACAGGTTTTCCGATGCTTTCTTACGAGCAACACCATTTTTTATCAATTTGCTTGTCTTCTCATGAATGAATGTTTTCTTTCTTATTTGTCTGTCCTTTGATCTCTGTTTATCTGCCTTTCATATGCACAGGACAAAGACATGAAATATATGTGATAATTTATAATAATTGAATTAGGTGTATTTTTATAGATTGTTCCAAGTGCACAGATGTTAAAAATCCTTGTTGTTGTATAGGTATCAGTAATTATAGCAGTGATATATCCAGGGAACATACAAGAAAAATTATGCTTCGTTATTAGTACCTGATGCATAACATGGATTATTGTGGAAATGTTGATATTGTAATTTAGATTATCTATTATTACAGCATGATTTTGTGGAAGCATTTTAGATGTGTATAAAATACATACAAAGGAAAAGACTTACAGAAAAAAAAATTATTTCTCAAAATCATATCAATTAGTATTTTTGTATTATTTTACGGTTAGGCATAGGTAAGCCAAAAACTATGATATATGATGGAGAAAGAGGTATTAAATATTAGCATAACATAGATTAATAGCCTTTTCTTTTTTTTTCTATTTTAATTAATATTAAGTGTCTTGGATAATGAATGCTGAAAGGTAGTTCTAAAAATTTTATGCCGGTTTTTACAATTTGAAAAATGGCTGGTAACAACATTAATAAGGGCTGCTAATTGTGTTCTGTGTTGTTTTCAGTCATTACAGATAAATATTTGTTGTGGTCGTTTGAGTCTGCACCATGAGCAGTTGTATGAATTTAATGCTGATTTTTAAAAACTATTGATGATAAGCTTCATCATAGTGCGTCATTTTAAATAAGTTTTATCCTTATCCTGAAGTAAATAAAATATTTTTTCATAAATACTTTAAAACTTACCAAGATAAATGTTCAATTTTTTTTCTTCTTCTTCTTCTTCAGTGTTGTGAGCTTCCTGCATAAGTCTGATACTTTTGCAAGCTTATAAATCCTATTTGTTTTATTATAATCTTTGATATGTGTTCATGATTCATTTAATTATTGTTGTAGTCAATGCAGCTGCATTTTTATTATTGTCAATTTTATTGATATTAATATTATTAATATTATTTTTATTAATATTAATATTGATATTATTAACATGATTATTGATATTTGTATTGTTAAAATTCTATTATTATTATTATTATTATTATTATTATTATTATTATTATTATATATTACTATTATCATCATCATCATCATTATTACTACTATTACTATAACTATTATTATTGTTGTTATTGTAATTATTATTATATTTTTTTATTATTATCATTATTATTGTAATTATTATTATTATTATTTTTTTTTTTATTTTTATTTTTTTTATTATTATTATTATTATTATTACCATTATCATTATTACTACCATTACTATTACTGTTACTATCACTATTGAGGTTATTATTACTGCTATTACTCTTGCTATTATTATAATTATTATATTCATCAGTTATATATATATATTAGCTATGTTATTGTATTGTATTTGTTATTGTTATCATTATTTTATACATTCCAAAAATCCATTAAATGCCTTTTCAATACTAGTTGTATTTAACCTCTTAGAAGTAGATAATATGAAGTTCTCACTGAAATAACAGACTTCTCTCTGTTATAAAAAAAATCTTCCATTATATTACCTTATGAAGTTTTGATTGAGTTGACTTTGCATATTAAGAATGATTATTAGTTTTCAAAAACTTGCTTCTGTTTAACAATAGTTCCAAAAACAATTTAAAATTATGTTGAAAGTGTTCCTAAGAAGAAAGCAGTACTTTTACAGATAAATACTGTTTATTGTTTTTAATTTCAGAATTGTGTGTTAACCCAATGCCACTGGGGGGGGGGGGGGGAAGGGGAAATGCTGTGCTCATTTTCTATATTTTTTGTGAAATGTATCTGCACATAGATGGCTCTGCTAGTGCTTAGCCACAAAGGAGTCAATTAGTAGACCTTGTGACCTTACCTGATTTGAATTGGCAGGAAAATCGTATTTTTCACTAATGAATATCGATGGTTATATTTTTATTATAAAAATCATAATTACTATAATGTTAAAAACATTAGTAACAGCAAAATAAGGTAACGTAAAATATTTTCATAAATCAAAGAAAAGGGTAAACGGACGAGACAAACAGTACTCGTAACTAGCTCATGGGTGACTGAGTACAAGTGTAGCCATCTATGTGTAAAAACAATCAAACAAGTAACTCACAGTGGGCATAGCACATACATACACTGTCATCCCCGTCGGCATTGGGTTAAGGATAAATTTGCTTTACAATATTTACTTGATCACTTGATTAGGAATGTGACCTTTTTTTCTGTGTATCTAAAGGGGAGGGGGTAATGTACAAGAAACAACTTGACACTTTTTGCAACTTTTTGCAGTGTTAAATTTCATTTCTTACATATTTACATTTTAAAGCAGGTGGAAGAACTGTGTTCTGAAAATATTTTAAAATGTTATTAGATTGTTATTATTGTCCTTAACTAATATCTAATAGGGACTTGAAATATAAAGGAGAAATAAAAACCGTTTGATATATATGAGGCCAACGTAGTTAAAATAAAAAATAAAAAATCTGCCATTGCTTTCCAGCTATATAATGGAAAATAGTAAACGCTAAAGGAAATTCAATGCAAAATAAAGATTTCTTGAAGTGATTGATAATTTGTTCATCAACTGCATGAACTATTCTTTATTTGAATAATGAGGCAGTATCTGCAGTGTTTTATTTATATTTTTATTCAGATTAAAATGAACTTGGAAAAATATATATATATTAATAAAAATTACAATGATTTTTGGTGATTTATTAAACCTTATAGTTATTTTGTTTTTGTTTTTTGTTTTTGCATAAAGCTGTCATGCATAAGACCTTCATTATTATTGTGTGCGTGTGTGCATATGAGAGAGAGTGAGTGAGTGAGTGAATGAGTGAGAAAGAGAGAGAGAGAGAGTGTGTGTGTGTGTGTGTGTGCGTGCGTGCGTGCGTGCGTGTGTCTGTGTGTGCATGCATGCTTGCTGTATATGTGTAGATATATATGTGTGTAAATATATATGTATATTTATATATATATATATATATGTAGACAAATAGATAGATATAAACTATTGGGGTCTGTGTCATATATGAAAGAGAAAAGGTGGTTTCCCCAATATAACTTTCTTTTCTATGTATGTAGCATCTACATTCTCACTAAATTATGTTCTGTTTTCTCTTTTTTTTTTTTTTTTTTTTTGTGTGTGTGTGTGTGTGTGTGTGTGTGTGTGTGTGTGTGTGTGTGTGTGTGTGTGTGTGTGTGTGTGTGTGTGTGTGTGTGTGTGTGTGTGTGCATGCGTGCTTGCTTGCTTGCTTGCGTACCTGTGTAATTATATGTATATGTGTAGATATATATGTCTGTAAATATATGTGTATATTTATATGTATATATGTAGACAGATAGATATAAAAACGTGTGTGCGTGTGTGTGTGAGAGTGTTTGTGTGTGCTTTTTCAGTGCAAAGGTTATAACCGTACGGGATGCACGCTGGGAGCATCCCGACGGCCACCCAACCCAGTGAGGCCTGTGGCGCAAAGCCCAAGAGGACCCAGGGGCGTCACTTCATGTTATGAGTTGGGGGGGGTGACGGGTAAATTTGCCCTGAAGAAATAATATTTGCCCTGCAAATCACGAAAAAGAAAATACTCACTAGCTCTTTATAAGTAGCCCGGAATGGACCATCAACCAGTATTTATAAAGGATAAATGAACAAAACAACAAAAATAATGATAATGTTTATTTTATAGCGAATTAATGTTTTTTGTTTTTTTTTTTTTGTTTTTTAATAGATAGGTATCAGCTTTTTTTTAATGAAGTACATTAAGTTAATGTTTTTCGATGTAAGATACTTGATTTTGAAGTGGAATAGGCGATGCGCAAACCTTGCAAAGTGACCGAGAATGAAACGAAGTCTTCGTGAATTTCAAGACGCCTGATTTTTTGAAAGGTGTTATCCTCACCTGCTTGGCCTAAACTCATGGCTTGGCCTAAATTAGATACTTTGCGCCAGCAAATGTTATAAATCAAGTATCATCAACAATTAGTTTCATATAGTTATTTATATATCTTGAATACTTATCGGCTATTGAGGCAGATCCCGTAAGAGAAAATTTGCCCTACAGAACTAGACTTTGCCCTGCAAAAAGAGTTTTTTTTTAAGAGCTGGGGGGGGTGAACCACCCCCTATACCCCCCTTAAGTGACACCCCTGAGAGGACCCCACAGGCGGATAGCTGCCCACTACCCTCCTTTCTATGAAGCATCGTCGTCCGTTCTATGAAGCCCGAGGTTTAACCAAACAGTCTTAATTAGTGAGATACTTGCGCACTATTCTCAGTGACTTCAATGCCTTATCCGGAGGTGGTTAATATGTCTGTCGATTCACTTGCTCGGGAGCTGATATCTAGCTGTAGAGTAGTCTCCTTCTCAAGGGACTTTGCTAGATCTTAGAGATTCAAATGTTTCGGCTCCAACTCGCATCGCATGACTTGGTACCGTGGTATGAGTAATGTATCCAAGGAAATTGACGACATCCATGTTAGCACTTGCTGGAGGATCCTTCTGAACTGCAGGATCTGCCATAGATTGGTCGGGGTTATCCTCCGGATCCACTTCAAAAGTCCCCAATCGGCCCGGGTGTTCTAGGGTGTTCCACTTGGACAGACTGAAAGAGTGAGGTGTACACGAAGGTTTGCTGGGGCTATCTGATCGTTTCGCAGCTTACGCATCTCGGCGGACGCTGTAGCGGTATGAGATACCTTCAACTGCAAAATGCTTGCTTTAGCTCAGGAGTCCATTGACAACTACCCATGAGCAAGAATTTCATCTCACAGGTGACACTGGACTTGAAACTTTCCCTGGCGCGTAAGACTCAGACATAATTCAGAATTGCCAAGGAATAGTAAATCAGAAACCTTGGCTTAGGAGGTCGAATGCCATTTCATCCTGCCTACCAACCCCTCTTCGCCTTGGAGTAGTTAGCACTTTAGCAGTTGTGTCAGGTTATTTCACCAACAGTTAGCTAGGGCGCAATTGGTGTCGTGGTCCCAGTGCCGGATCCAGCCATCAGCGAGGGGCGTAGTCATCCCTCTTTGGAAGGGGAAAGAGGATCAGTGGGATTGAAGGAATAACCTAGACTTTACACTGCTCAGCATATTATGTTCACATCTTTCTGAGACATATCAGAGATAACCTACTGAGGCACCCGAGCCCGGTGCGATCTGGATTTACTCTACAATAATCTTGTAGGTTTGGAATGTTTGCAGTTTACATTGATCTCAAGGAGGCATTCGACTCAGTGCATCGCAAAGTACTCTCAGAGATCCTCAGAACTAGGAGAATTCCTACAAGGATTCTTCGAGATATAGCAAGCCTGTAAACCGGTATTAAAAGTGCTGTAAAATGTAATCTGGGCCTGTCTAGCTTCTTCCCTGTGAATTCAGGAGTGAGGGAGGACTATGTTTTTGCACCGACACTTATCAGTACTTGCATGGACTGGATAATGGGCAAAGCTACTATCCAAATTTATTGTGGAACAATGTTGAGCAAGGCCACCGACCTTGATGTTGACAATGTTGCTATCGTATTTGAGTCTAAGGAAACCTTAGTAACGACCTAGAAGTGTTCTGGACCAAGATCAACATCCAGCATTATGGGGGTCCGCAAGAAGCTGCGACGAGGATACTGAAGTCACCCAGAGCTTTAGATACTTTGGTAGTGTAGTTCATGACGCTGGGCTGTCGGTCAGAAAGACAGTAGACAGATTGGCCTACCAGCTGGTATCAAGTACTCTTTCGACAAGGGTGAAGGTGCCGGTACCTATGCAGAAGGACTTTGTTACTCGTTTTCAAGGTCTTGATACTGCCAGCTTTGCATTACATAAGTGAATCCTGGACGCTATCCCATGCCTTGGAGTCTCATCTTGGAGCAATTTGCAACAGCTCCCACTGCCAGATCATAAGGTACAGCTAACAGGCCCATGTGTCCAATCAAGGATTATACCATGAGACAGACATAGGACCTGCTACTTGCACAACCCGGGACCACCAACACGGGTTATACGGGCGCTGGGCTCTCTTTCCTGAGGACTGCCCTGCTTACCAGGTCGTCTCCTCCCGAGACAAGCCATGGTGGAAGCCCGTGGGATGATCTAGGAAGTTGTGGTTTGGGCATATTAATGTGATCTGGTGTGAAGAGTTACAGGTGGACCGAGGACCCGCATGATGGAAATGAACGATAGTTGCGCTTTTGCACTCGTCTGCGTAACCCTCATTAAAGTGTGAGTGTGTGTGTGTGTGTGTGTGTGTGTGTGTGTGTGTGTGTGTGTGTGTGTGTGTGTGTGTGTGTGTGTGTGTGTGTGTGTGTGTGAGAGAGAGAGAGAGAGAAAGAGAATGTATGTTTACATATAATAAACATACATATATATATATATATATATATATATATATATATATATATATATATATATACACATATATACATATATATATAATATATATATATATATATATATATATATATATATATATATATATGTATATATATATATACATATATATATATATATACATATATATATATATAATATATATATATATATATATATATATATATATATATATATATATATATGTATATATATGTATGTATGTTTACATATAATATATATATATGTCAACGGCCAGACGGCTAGGTAACATATATATATTATATGTATATATTTAAATGTATATATATATATATATATATGTATCTATATATATGTATGTATGTATATGAATGTATACACACGTGTGTGTGTTTGTGTGGACGCGCGCGCGCACATCGTCTGTGTGTGTGTGTGTGTGTGTGTGTGTATTCGAACCCCCCCCCTCCCCCCTCCGCACAGTTTGTTTACGTTCTCCGCGGCGGCGTTTGGCCCCGAACTCAAGAGTGTCTTAGCAGCAGCAGCAAAAAAACATGAACTCGGCAAGTAAAGTAAGTATCTTTTACGGTTAATGAGCCTCATTATTAAGTCGATAAGAAGATTATTTCAAAAGTATATTTGTTTTTAGCCCGAAAAGAGGGAAACGTGTGTTTTCGATGCTCGTTCACAATGTTGAATTTGAATTTTCTTTCTCTTTTCTTTAATTATTATAGCAAGAGCATTGTGAACTTCACAGCTTTAGTTCTTCCCTTTGTTGCTAAATTCCTCAGCAAGATCATTGGTGTAATGATAAAAAAATTTACATATACTTAGTACGAAATTACCAGCACATTGAATCAGAAGATCAGGAAATTCTATTAAATTGAATATTGAATTTGAATTGAATTAAATTGAATTAAATTGAATATTAAAGTCCACATCACCCACAATTGCTGTTCTGGGGTAAATGTTCAGAGCACCTTTGCACGAGTTAACACCATTAAAGTATTATGACGGATTAATTATTTAAAATTATCTGCTGTATCGGTAGCAAAGGTCACTAGCTGCCGTGGTATGGTGGATTCGTCTCACTCTGTACTGCACATGTATATATATAGAAGCTTAAAATATCCTTTGTGGGGTGGGAGTGCCATAGGTGATGCTAATGGTGGTCAATATCTCTCCAATTGCTCAAGTTATGGGAGCTATTGACCATGCGTGATTGGGTTATTTCAAGATTTTGCTTGCTATTACAGCTTTATTGGATTAGGAGATACGATAAGTTTCTCACAGGCACCCTACCTTGCAATTATTGATTGATTCAGTTATTTGCTTTATAATATGTGTGAATCTCTACCTGTTTTCCATTGTAAATAACGTAAGGGAAAGAGTCGTGGTTGTTTACAAGGTTCCTATTAATCCAGCCTTTCCTGGTGATCCACAAAAAGTGTCATATGAACCAAAAACCTTCCTAATCCAGGGCTTCACCCCCAGACCCCCACCAAGAAAGGATTCCAATCATGACGTGGCATGAACGTAAATGACACTCATCAGCAGGTAGTTGAAGGCCTATTCTAGAACTTGAAACCAAATGGATAGGTTCTTTTATTAAAACCCTTCAAATTTTTTTACTAGTTGATTCCTATTGATTTTTACTAATCAAATATAGCATTAAAAAAATGTGCAATATTAATGTAAAAAAAAAAAAAAAAAAAATTGGACTGACTGAGTGATGAGAACCACTAACCGAGCTGAGTCGTGACATCGCTCACAAAGTATATGACTCAAACCTATCAAGACTCTAACTTGCCGGTGAGATGTGGCGGAGATTTCGCTCTCCGGTCAAAGGGATGGGGAAGGAGCAGCCAAGTCCGTCAGTGATAAATATGATAGATTTTGTAATATGACTTTTCCTAGAATTTACCAATATGTTCTGGGGAGATAGAGCTTGTTGAAAAGGGTATGAATGGGAATGTATAGCTTCATAGTCCAAGCAATGTGTTTGATGTTTCAGTTAAATTGTCAGAAATACAATTTTTTTTCCTGATCTAACATTTAGTCACAATGTGTCATATTAAATTTGAACAAGGTAGACAGTACTTAGAATCAGTTGATCACTAATATAAGATACATTTATTCAGGGATGTAATTGTAATAATAAGATAAAAAGATATGGACCCTGTTGATAGATGCAGTCAAGTAAATTGCCATGGTTTACTGCCTTATGTGCTCTGGCAAAGTCTAAAGTTAAGACTTCAAGTACATATTGGGTGGAAAGAGCTTGGCCTGGTTCCTATTTAGTTATATGGAAGGGAAGACTGTAAACTTCACATAGGGTTATTGTGATCATGGTGAAGTAAGGAAGATGCTGAAATTCCTTTTATTTTTTTATTATTTTTTTATTAGTTTCAGTTTACCTTATCATTTAGATTACATTCTTATTTTCAATTTGCAAAAAAATGTGTATATGTATGAGTGGGGCTTTGAATTTGTTCTCTGTTTTTATTAAATATCTTATGATTTGTGTTTCTAGCTTCTTTTGACTCTAAAAACAGGTTCTGCTTTTAATTTCACTAGTTATTGATTTGCTTCATTACAAATTTTTCTGTTAGTATCAGTATTATTATAGTTTCTTTGAATTCTTTATTTGTTAATCAGTTGATAGACTATCATATAACGTATAGTTGTAATTATCTAAATGTTAATTAGAGTCGATGATTTAATAATATCCAATATCTCCTTCAAAGGTGGGGGAGATTTTCCTGGCAGCTGGAACCGCTTTCAATAAGCTCGCAGAACTGACTATGCAGCTTCACCCCACAGCTGAACAGTCTCCCTCAGGGTAAGCTGTTTGTACTCACAAACTTCTTTTATCACTTAGCATTTCCTTTTGTTTTTTTTTCTGTTCCTTTCTTTCTTTCACACTCTTTCTTTCTTTTCTGTTCATTTATATGTATTGATGTTTTTTTGGGGGGAGGGAGGTATCATATTTCAGAAGCACTATATATATATATATTAATCAGTCATATTGTTAAATGTTTCTGTGGGTGGATTATGTAAACTCACACATATATTTCAAGTATATAAACAAACCAGTCTGTAAACCCCAAATAATGAACACTACTGGTTTGGAAGCTTTCTGCAGTGTTGGGGGGGGGGATTAAATGCTCTTTGTTATTCAGTGAACACAATGCAGTTATGGTTGTCTGTCTTCAACACTTCTATTTTTTAATCAAATTTCACCCAAGCATGAATATAGAGCAAGTATGATTGTTATATCATTATTACTTTTAAGTTTTTCTCCCTATTTTTTAGTTTCTTTTATCAACATCATTATAGTTATTGTTGTTATCTTTATTTCTGGTGTTATTATTATTCTTGTTAGTGTTATTATTGT